GGTGGGGGTGGGGTCCGCATGGGCTCTGGGGGGCCCAGCGGGGGGTGCACCTCAATCTGCCGGTCCCGGAAGATGCTGCAGATGCCGCTGTTGAAGCCAGCGCCAGAGAACATGGATGTGATGGGGTAGGTGAGGTCCAGCACAGTCTTCACCATGGACGTCATGCCCTGGGACACACACAGCCTCGCGGGGTGCCCACTTCCCTGCACCAGTGGCAGCCTGCCTTGGGTCTTGGGCGGCACATGCCGTGGCTGGGGCCGCCCAGTGGGGAGAGGCTGGTGGACACCCAGGGCCTGGGTCTCGGGATGTGGCCCCCCCCGTCCCTTCCCGATTCTCTTTGCGCCCTGGGCCTCCCTGGGTTGCCTGCTCAGCACTAGGTGAGGCCCAGCCTGGCCCAGGGCTGGGTGGGTCAGCGATAGGGAATGCTCGGGTCCACAGCCTGGCATGCCAGGGTCCCAGGTCCACCAGTGAGACACAGGCAGACAGTTCCAGGAAAGTGGGCACTGCCTGCCCAGGCTGCCCGGGTGGGCCTCACATGCCCTGGGATGCTCCAGCAGGGGCCACGGCCTGGGGATTTTCCAGTGACTCCTCTGGGTGGGCCGGAGACCCGTCCTTTCTCAGTGAGGTGAGGCCAATCAGAGGATGGCGAGCAGGACTTGTGGTCTCCTGGGAATGCCCCATGGGGTGGAGGAGAGGGCCCATCCTGCCACCATGTGTGGGGCTCCCAGGACGGAGGCTAGGTGGGAGGAGCCCAGGGCGCAGTGGGTGTGGGGAGTCTGTGTGCTCACACTGCATGGTGCTTGGAGGGGAGACGCCGGCAGCAGGCAGTGGGCACACTCCCGAGGGCCTGCCCAGCCCCAGGGGGACTCATAGAGCCCAGCCAGACGCCCTTCACCACCCCGCCCCCCACAGCACAGCCCTGACCCCACGATGCCCTGGCCGGACACCTCGGCCTCAGACGTGGCAGGACCAGCCCCAGGAGCCCTGACCACGCCCACGCCTGTGCCCCAGAGCCATGCAGGCAGGGAAGGGAGGGGCCGGCTGCCAGCCCCGGGCCAATCTCCCCAGCCGGTGGCAGACTCTCGCGGAGCCCCGCTCTGCTCATGGCGGCCTCTGTCCCCTGCAACCGCGGCTCTCAGAGCTGTCCTGCTGCGGCGCCAGCCCTCAGCCCCCTCTTTCGAGCGGCCACACTGAGGGGTGACTTGGGTGACTCATTGCAGGGAAAGAGGCATTTCTGGAACAGAGCGGGGAGTGGGTGGCAGTGGCCTCAGGACCTCAGTTGGAGGCTGGCAGCAGCCCCAGGCCCGTGAGCGCAGGGGGGCCGCTCTGAGAGCCACTGCTGTGGCGAGGATGACGAATTTTCTTTTTAGGAGGAGAACACAGACGCTTTTGATCCCACTCATGTCTTCAGCTGGGACCGGTTTGTTCCACAAAAGCACAGCGCTGAGCAGGGCAGCAGCAGCTGCGCCTGTGGGGGTCTGTGAGCCGCTGCCCTCTGCGCCTTCGGGGGCCTGCTCTGTTTTCTCAGATTCTGTAGTGGATATTTCCGTTCTGGCTTCCATTTCCCACAAAGCCAGACCAACCGACGTCGTTTACATCTCCCCTGCCACCCTGAGCCGTCCCTAGGCCAACGGTTTATCTGCCCCAAATCAACCCAGGCCAGTCCCATGCTACCAGGGTAGCCCAAAGTCCCCAAGCCTGGTGGAACGAGTCAGACTGGCCTATCCTAAGCTGCATGCACTTCCCTGCCTGCCTCCGCTGCCCCACCCACCCTGGGAGCCCCGGCCCAGGCCTTCTCTGCACCCTGGCGCTTCCAGAAATGGCAACAATCGGCTCCCCTTTCAACGGCCCTGGCCCTGGGTGGTCCCTCAGACGTTTCCACCGAGCACAAGTCAGAGCACCAACCCCCGCCCTCGACTTCTTTGTGCAGCCCGTGCCTGCCAGCCATACTTGGAGGCCTGAGGAGCCATCCCCAGTGTCCCCTGTCCCCCATGCACGGGTGTGGACCTCAGGGCTGTGCTCCAGAGAGTGGTGTTGGCTCACCTCGGCCCACTGCTTGGCCCGGATCCGCGTCCGGCTGCAGCTCCGCTCCTCAGCGTACAGGGCGCCCACGAAGGCCCCGATGGATGTGCCTCCAACCATGTCCACGGGGATGCCGCACTCCGCCAGCGCCCTGAGAATGCCCACCTGGGCGCAGCCTCTACATCAGCAGCCAGGAACATGGAGCGGGAAGTAAGCACTGCCAGGGCCAGCCTCTGGCCGTGACCCACAGAGGCTGCAGAGGCCTCAGAGGCAGGCGCCTGCGGCCCACCCACTCATTCTTGGTTCCTGACTCCTGTACATGTGGAGATGCTGACTTAGAGAGGGACAGGGATGCTGGATGTGAATTTTTTTGAAAGCAGGACGTATCGAGAGAACAGAAAAGCTCCCTCAGTGGGCGGGGACCCGAAGGGGCTGCCCTGGATGTGATTTAAAATCCCTCTCTCTGGAGGTGGGGATCGTGGACTGGGATGGGGAAGAGGGTGTCCCGTGAGGCGCCCACCACTGGCCTCTTCTACCCACAAACAGTGCTGCCTCCTGCAAGGCATCTGAGGTGGTGGGAAGACTGGAGTTGGGGGCCCTGGCAGGGAGCAGCCTGGTGAACGTCCTGCAGAGCAAAGCCCTGGGAGTCAGGTGAGCGGAAACAGACCAGGGAGCCCACACCCAGAGCCGTGCAGCACTGCTGCCGTCATTCACGGAGAATGTCCACCACTCAGCCAAAGAGGCCAGTCATGTGAGGAGCAAAGACCACAAAATCATAAGCCAAAAGGAAAAACAGATGATAAAGCGGGTCCAGAGTGACCCCAGAAAGTAGAAATCGCAGACACAAGCTTTGAAGTGACTGTGCTTAAAGTGCTCGAGGAGGCAAAGGGCGGAAACAGCCAAAGTGTCCCACAGCAGATGAATGGATACGATGTCATATTTTTCAGCCTAAGATGGACGGAAGGGCAGGCTCCGCGGCTCAGCCTGTCATCCCCGCACTTTGGGAGGCCGAGGCGAGTGGACTGCCTGAGCCCGCAGCTTCGACACCCACCTGGACAATGGGGTGACCCCATCTGGTCAATAAATCAAAAACCAGCCGGGCGTGGTAGTGCGCC